GATTCAGCACAAATGCTGCATCATCTGTTATGCCGTGCCTTAGCACCCAAGAATTTCCTCTTCTCAGCTCTAACAGCACCTTATAGTTTCCTTAGTTGTAGTCCTTTTCACATTCCATTATAATGGTCCATCTGTCTTCCCTTTAGCTTCTCATCTCCTACATAGTGGAGATATGTTTATTCTTTGTTGTGTTCCTAGAGTCTAGCTCAGTTTCTAGTACCACTGAACAGTGCTCATTAAATGTTGGAAAGATTGTTAGAACAGCACTAATGAAGTAAAAATACCTGAAAGACGCTGTTGTCTTTCAGAAGGGAATCAGCGATGTATTATAATTCAGAGTGTCTTTCCTACAATAGAGTTTTGAATAAAAAACAGAAGTCCAGAGATGGCATTGCAATAGTTACAGGATGTGTATTTCAATATATGCTACTTAATATTATTAGCACTACTGCTATGAGAAGTTAAAGTTTTTGTTGGTTGCTTTAGGGAAAATCAGAATGGTATTGATTTTGGCCCCAAACAGTAATTATTTATTTTATTTCCTTACAATTTAATTTTAAAAGTCTACCTGAACATGTTAGTCAAATAATTGTTTCCACCTTAATGTTTTATTCTATATGTAATATTCTGGGAAAAGGTGTATAGGTGATTTCGTGCTAATATCTTGTTTTTATGAGTATCATTTAATCAATGTTTAATTTATTTTTTGAATACAAGCTTGCTCCTCTTCAGAAGTATCTGGTAGGCAACTACTTTTAATAAAGCAAATGTTATCTTTAAAACTTTTTATTTGGTTGTTTGCCACTTGTTATGCTCCTCAGAAAGTCATATTTTTATAAAATATTCTAAGTTAATAAGATATTTTAGTTGATGGAAGGAATAGTTTGTTTGGTTTTATGTTGAGTTTTATCTATAGAAATGATTTATATTGCAGTATCTTGTGTGATATTTTAGAAACAACAAATACAGCACTGTGTAGTGGGAGTTGTACAGGACAGCCAAAGACAGATTAATACACAACATTGAAATTAGGTAACCCAGATTAATGAAAGATTTTTGAAAGAAAAAATACTGTTATAAATTTTGTGTGATATCTATCCATTTTAGCTAATATTTTAATTGGGTATTTACCCTAGGAAGTTTATATTCTGTGTTCTATTTTCTATATGTTTCCCTTCTATTTTTGGATATCCATTAAATACAATTGTGCTTTTATTGTAAAAGAGGTGTGAAGGAGAGAAGTGACAGTCATCTCATTACAAAGAAAACTAGAGAATTCAACATCCAGAGTAGCTGTAATCTATATAGTAATAGATTTCTAAACTCTTCTTATAAAAACGTGACTGATAACCTCAGGTAAGCATTAGATTAGGCATGCTGTAACTAACAACATGCTTTTTTAATAATAAACAGCAATCTAGTTTATCTAACACAGAACTGAAAAATGCCGAATAGATAAAGTCACTAAATGTAATTCATGAAACATTGCAGAATTATCCGAATAACTTGGAATAAAGATATACCATACTTGAATTTTTAATAAATTTTTCTAATGTTTAAAATGAACTCTATATTCTGTTTTTTAACTATGTTCTGTGGATAAATATATTCAAACCTATTTTAAGAGTGGTAAGAATTAAGTTTTGTTTTGTTTTTTTTAACGTACTTGTGCAAGTGCATAAAAATGATTCCTTTGTTTCTTCTTTCTTCGTCTCATGAACGTGGATGAATACTTCTACAAATGAACACTGGGTGAACGTATATAGATCTCTTTGGTATGCTCATTTCTTAAACTGAAGAGAAAATAAATTTATTTGGAAAATAAATTTAATTGAAATATATGCTTCTGAGGAGAAACTGAGTTAATTTTTGGTGTGTCCGTCTCACTTTTTTATTACCTAGTTTGCTCCGTTATTGACTAGTACAGAACAAAACATATTTGCTGAAAAATCCTTTGTTGAGATTTTTTTTCTTCAGGGGAGTTACTGCTCACCTTTAATAGGTCCTGATGATTACTAAGAAGTATTAGAACCAATATTATAACTTAGGTGTGCCGAGCTCCAAAGCCTGTGGCTATTGCAGGATATCACAATGGTTTAAGTTAATTTTAAATATAGATACAGCTTATATACTAGAACACAACAAGAAAACAAAAGATTTGAGACCTTAAAGTGTATGCTTTATAGGAAACTCTGAATTAAATGTGCTTCAGTGTTTGAATTTAGCTCTCTCCCACCACTCATTTTATTAATTAGTTGCCAACTCCTTACATAAGTGGATATAAATTTTTTAAATAACCAGAGAAGATCATTCAGAAAGTTAAATTAACCACTGTGTAAAACTAACAAAATTCTAAGCAAGCACATGTGGTCCTGGATCACCTGTTGTTTTAGAACTATTCATAATCTAGCATACTGTGAAATATTTTAATTTTGGTATTTGTCTTTATAAGATGTATATTTTGGTTAAGTAGCATTTTTACAAAGAGTTAATTTTGTTCATCTTTGCATCTAAATATTGCACATACAAATTAGAGATTTCATGTGTATATGTATATATACTTATGTGGCAAAAAGTGTTTCAGAAAAAGTTTTACTCATGAAACTATTTAATGACATTATAATTAACACTTATCTTTACTCTAAAAGGGAATCTCTTTATTTGTCGAAATAATTTACAAAATTAATATCTTTGATTCATATCATTTCTGATAATGTTCATATAAGACCTTTATGAGATTATTTGCTTTCTGCAGTATGGCTTGGCGATAAACTCAGAATACTGATGAGTACAGAGAGTATTTCAAAGATTTTCCTGAATATTCTATCAGTGAATGAAATTGAAAGAGTACCTAAAATTTTTCTTTTAGCTCATTCACCAAGCAGGAAAAAGGAAATTTTCTTTCACTTACCACCTTTGGCAAATACTGCCAGTGTTTCCTTTGACCAGTTACTTTTTTCTTAACTCAAGGTCCAATTAGCAGGAAGTGACTGAAGAAGCTGAAACTGTATGTTAGGAATATTTTTTTCTTTTCCTGATTCTCCATGTCTTCAAATTACAACTCATGCAGGCATCTGGAGAGTTTATACTGCTACTTGATGTACAAGTTCTATAAATAGAAGATAACTAAAAATATTTTTCAAAAGAAATCAGAGGTATATTTTGAGAGTCACAAGTTGTTTCTTAAAAGCCACAGTTGCATTTAGCAATAAATTATGTTCTTAATTTATTTTATAGCTGTCATTTCCAAGTCAGTGCCATATGCAGATATGTCTGCTCCATGCAAAAAAAAAAAGAAAGTCTTACTTACAAAACCACTCTTCTTCAGTTGTAACTAGTACATTAACTTTTAGAAGTAGAATGACTTGAACCATCCTAAAGTCAAAGAAAATGTAATAATTTTCCACCCCCAGAAGGAATTAGATCATATTTGCATAATTAGGTACAATTATTTTATTCATTGTTTTGGTGAATGAGATTTTCATACAATGGAAAGATTCTAATTTTAAAAATTATTTTTCTCAAATTTTCTAAAATAGGTATCTTGAGAGTATTTTACAGCAAAATACAAGTGACAGTTTGTATAAAATAGTAAAGTAATATCTTCAGAAATGCATGCTAGTGTTACATAAAATCTAAGACTCCACTTGATGCGTGTTCATCACCATTTTGAAATCTCAAAGCATTTAGAACGCCAACAACTTTCTCATTTAACAATGTTTTGCCAGAGGTACCTCAGTGGGGGTTAAAGGAGGAAATTATAATGTATATTTTAAATGCCTCAGTTTAATACTACTACATCATTAGATAGTCTTATTAAAGAATTTGTGAACTCTTCACTCCCACTTTTAATTTTTTCTTTTCATCATCGCCATCATTTTTACTACCTCTGAAATAAATATCAGTGTGCCATTTGTTTAGCCTTTTACTATTTCAACATTATTTAAATCTTACTTTCTGTTACTTTTTTCTTTACTTATAGATTCAGATATCAGAGGAATACTGGGAACTTTCCCAGCAAAAAGAAGGACTAAAATAATTACTTCTTGTTTAGTTAGGTTTTGCTCTCATACCTAACTATAGGAACAAGAATACAGTTTGTTAATGCCATTTTCTCTCTCTCTGAAATTTTTTTCCTATTTATTTTTAAAGCCCTGGAGTTGTTTTGTAAACAGAAGTCTTTGTTAATGACTTTGTGGGAAGATAATGAAAAAAAGGAAGCTTTTTACATGATTCTTCATTTAGCAAATCTAAAACTTCAAACCACAGCTCTGTAAAATAATGTGGCCATTATTGATCATTGTATAAACATCTGGTTTTGAATTGCTTTACTTTAGTTTACATTTTAAATTAGGCATTTAGTTTTGTTCCAGATTTAGAATGAGAGTTTTAAGCCATTTGGGTTTTTTGTTTGTGGTTTGTTCTGTTTTGTTTTTGTCTTTGTGGCTATTCTTTGTGTTACTCTGTGGTTTTTCCTTTTTCTCTCTACCTTTAGTAGAGAAGACAAATCTAATAATATAAATTCTTACACCTGAAAACAGCCTTTTATTAAAATCAGTTATTTTTGAAACTCCGTAAATCAACAAAGTTCTCCCAGTGTTTTCAGTTCTTATGTTTAAAGGCTCTGTTAATATCACTCTGGTTTATTTTTTTTACGATCAGTATTTTGTCATAGATTGATTTCTAACTTTTTTCGTTACTTTCAGATGTGTTTTCAGGAACAGTATTTTTATTATCAGATTTGAAATTATCAAAGTGATCTCCATGTAGAAGTGTATTAGATATTCTTAGAAACTTAAGAAAATGTTTGCTGCTTCTTTAAAGAAATTAAATAGCTCTCTAGTGTATCATGGTTGTGAATACACATTTCATGGCAACATAGTTGGCCTAAGTCTGTGTTTTTTAAGCAAGTATAGTTATATGTAAAATATTTATATATGCAATGTAAATATTCTTACAAGTCATAATTTGTTTTTTGTTTTTTTTTAATATGTTTTCAGTGAAAGAGTTTCTAGCCAAAGCCAAAGAAGACTTTTTAAAAAAATGGGAAAATCCTGCTCCGGTAAGGAATATCTTTAATTTTCTGTAATTTAAAAATCCTGTGTTGAGTAAAATCATGACTCTTGCCCAAATAATTTGCTACTTCAGAAAGCTTAATTTTCAGGTAGCATTAATAAATGTAAGCTTAACATGAGAATCTTGCCATAACATTATATTTTGATTTATTAATAATTTTATTTATACCTAAATTGGAGTGGGAACTAATTTCCAGGACGATACCTGATTACAAATTTTGATACTAATTCCAAACTGTTACAAAATGTTGATATTTCTGATACTTTCTAATATTATACTAATTTTGATTTGTCTTTGATAGCATATTTATTATTTTTATTAATTATGACAGTAGGGATCACACTGTGCAGCTTCAAATTCTCAATCACAAACACTTGGCTGTTGACAACATATCAAGTACACAAGAATCCTTTCATAAATGTTTTGATGTGTTAAGTCCTATGTAATTTAAGTACTTTAGATCTTAAGTAAGATCTAAAACCTGTATATAAAAGAGCTCTCTGTACTTGCCAAAAAAAATTTTTGAATCTCTTTTTATAAATATTTAATAAACTTTAATAGTATATTAAATTTTGAAAACCTTTTTTAGCACAAAATCTTTATTTCAAGTATTTTTTTCACTAAAAGATATTTAATTCTAAATAAATGTTATGTTTTGGGAAGATGACGTAATTACCAGGATTTAGAGCATGAGATATAATTTAAAACATAGTCACTCTAGTGATTACAAAACATTAGATATTATCTAACATGAAGCATTAAGAGAGAGGTAAGGAAGATGGATTATTGTATGAAAAGCAGTGACTAGCAAAAAGAGATGTTCTGTTGTCTATTAATAATGTTCGTTTTCATTATTTGGGAAGTATATTAAACATTTCAATTCATTGTTGTTGATAAAACAGAAATTAAATATTAATCTATAAAATTAATTCTATCAGTATTATAAGGACTTCTTCTATATTGATATAGAATCTCATGGCAATTTAAAGTTATTAGAAATGGGAGTTAAAATATGTTGAAAACAGATTTTATAAATAGAAACCTAGAGTTACTTGCTTTCTCTGTAATGATTTATTTAGAAGCTATGATGTGTCTCCAAAGGCAAAGTTTGGTTTGCAATAGAGAATAAATCCAACTACAGTGAATTCTTGTAGTTATTCAGACTCCTTCATTATAAACAAGTCATATTGAGTCACATTTTTATTAAGTTTAACACCGTACAGACTGGCCCTTGGAAATATTATTTCCAAGATTTTCATGGGGACCTTTATAATGAAAACCTATTAAATAAATGGGACAGCAATTACCACTTGGTGCTGTTTAGCACATAATTTTTCCTAGTAATTTTCAGTTTATTGTGGCAGCAACAAATGCAATAGATTGATGCCTCCAATTCTTTGCTTCCATGTTATATAGTGAAAGCCAAACAAAGATGTTTGCTTGTAACAAAGCATCTATTCAAGGAGGAAAAGAGACTGATTATTGTTCTGGGACTCTGACTTTTGGTTATCTGGGTGGGAGTGAGGAACTCTTTTTATCTTACTGTTACTTTTTAAAGTAATACAGGGTTTTTACAACACCAGAGAGAGAGGCCATTAGGAGCTCTCATGCTGCTATTATCTAGGTCTATAAGCTCATACCAGGATAGAAATGAGAAAGTGCTTTCTTCAGATGTAACTCTAGTGAAAGGGTTCTGATTCTCAGCTTATCCATCCACTGCAGTTTGCAAGTGCACTGACATCGTGTGTCTTCCATGATTGCATACTTCTGGTCGGCTTGTAATTATTAAAATATGGAGCTAATTCATTAGAAGTCCAGTACTAGGAATTCATACTGGAAAATGACCTTTCACATTTCAGCCGAGGCTCTTATTTCCTCACATTACTGTTTTGTGATATGTCTCTTTCAATTAGTAGATCCTTTCTTATTCAAAGAAAAAATAGAACCAATAACCTCGAATTTCAATAGTTTCTTTGTATTATTTTTAAATGAATAGTTACAGATTATCTATTCTGATAATTTATCACTAAATCTATTATAGTTACCATAGTCTTCTTATGAAAATTTCCAATTTTTAAGTTTATTTTTTCATGTATATGTAGAATAATGCCGGGCTGGAGGACTTTGAAAGGAAAAAAACCCTTGGAACGGGTTCATTTGGAAGAGTCATGTTGGTGAAACATAAAGCCACTGAGCAGTATTACGCCATGAAGATCTTAGATAAGCAGAAGGTTAGTGTATTCACTGTTATGTACCTGAAAGGTAAACTTCGGTTTTATGCTCTAGATAATTGAACACATGCAATAGAATGACTTACCATTGCATTTAATTTCCACTCCTATTTATTGTGACTGTGTGATACACATAGTTAATTGTTTTAATGTATGAAATATTATTTCAGTATTTATACACAGTAGGTATATATATATTTACTAACAAAATATTAAATTCTATATGTAGAGAACAGGCATCTCTACTACACTCTGCCTTGTGGAAAAATACAAGGATCAGTTGCTTGATCCTTAGATTGAGCTAACAGAAACTTACTGATTTTATTCTATGACTTATTTTAATTGATAATCAAAGCCCTTTTGTTCAACATAATTGAGGTTGTTTAATTTAAAATGTAAGTTAAGCAGGGGAAAATTTGAAAACCTATGTACTATCATATATCAAATTGTTATGTTGTACACCTGAAACTGATAATGTTATCTGTCAGTTATATCTTTAAAAAATTAAAAAATAATTTTAAAGTATTTATCATATATTAGTGCTATCTAATGAATTGGGGTATCTGAATTATTCGTGCTTTAAATATTAAGCTTCTATTTTCCTAGTAATCATGATTGAGGGAAAGTAAGAAAAAATGGCAAATCTTGATATATTATCTTATAGATTCTACATTCTCAAGAGTGACATTTTGGTTTACTGGCATATAGATAAGAAAATGGAGGAGACAGTACTGAACTAGTAGTCAGGGTTACAGATAGTAGGTAAACGAATGCTATCCAACAGAAGTATAATGTCAGCCACATAGGTAATTTTAAATTTTTTAGTAGCTGCATTTAAAAAAAAAAAAGAAATAGTTGTAATCTTAATGATCGATTTTATTTAGCCCAGTGTATCTAAAATATTATCATTGCAACATATAATTAATATAAATATTAGAGTTGTTTCATATTCTTTTTTGCATACCAAGTTTTCAAAATCTGATTTATATTTCACAATTGCAGTATATCTCCATTCAAATGAGCTACACTTCCAAGTGTTAAATAACCACACGTGGCTAGTGGCTACCATATTGGACAACACATCATTAAACTGGTCTGAGGTTTCAATGCAACCTCTACTTGAAAACAAAAAACAAAACTGACATCTAACATGAAAAAATCTCTCTAAAATTAAATACACACATATACACATTTGTGCATCTTTGTTTACTGCCCTCTTTCACATATCTTTTCTAACAGGGCTTCTTGAAAAAAATAGTTTAATCACTTTATCCACTAACTCACTTCCTTTTTTTATTGAAGTATAGTTGATTTACACTGTTGTGTTAATTTCTGCTGTACAGCATTGTCATTCATATACATATATATGAATATATACATATATATACACATATACATACATATATGTATATGAATGACTATGCTGAACACCAGAAATTAACACAACATTGTAAGTATATAAATATATATATATATATATATATATCCCTTTTCATATTATTTTTCATTATAAGCCACAAGGTATTGAATATAGTTCCCTGTGCTATACAGTAGGACCTTGTTGTTTATCTGTTTTATATATAGTACTTAGTATCTACAAATTCTGAACTCCCAATTTATCCCTCCCAACCCCCTCTCCCCCTTGGTAACCATAAGTTTATTTTCTATGTCTGTGAGTCTGTCTCTGTTTTGTAAATAAATTCATTTGTGTTACTTTTTTTTTAGATTTCATATATAAGTGATATCATATGGTATTTTTCTTTTACTTTCTGGCTTACTTCACTTAGTATGACAATTTCCAGGTCCATTAATGTTGCTGCAAATGGCATTGTTCTTTTTTATGGCTAAGTAGTATTCCTGTGTGTGTGCGCGCGTGTGCACACGCACACGCACATGTGCATGTACCACAACTTCTTTATCTAGTCATTTGTCCATGGACATTTAGGTTGTTTCCATGTCTTGGCTATTGTAAATAGAGCTGCTGTGAACACTGGGGTACATGTATCTTTTCACATTAGAACTTCCTCTGGATACAAGCCCAGGAGTAGGATTACTGGATCAATCAACTTCCTTTTAATTCTTTAGCCCACAACAATTTAGCTGCCTCCTTGTTTATCTCCTACCTCTTGCTACTCTACTGGAATGATGTTACCAAGGGTCACCAATCCAGTGATGTAATCACCAAGTTCAGCGGGCTTTTTGCTCATCTTACATGACATTTTAGAGCCTATGATGTGTTGACCACTCCCTTGAAACTGTCTTGTCCCTGGACTTCTTGCCTCTCGGGGTTCTTTTTTATATGTCTTTTTGCCTTTTCCTGTTTTCTGTTTGTTTGTTTTGATTTCTTTTTTTTTCCCCTATTTTTAACTTCTGTCTACTTTTCTACTCTTTAAAGATAGCTAATCTTAATCTCTGAACTATGTGCTTGTCCTATTTTCTTGTTCTATATGAGCTTCAGCTCATCCTTGAGCTCTGCACTCCTAGTTTGAACAATCTGAGCATGGAACTCTTAGAGATCAACTAATTCTTACCCTAATTGTCTAGGTGGGGTAATTGGATCTCAGAGAGGGTAAGTGACTAGTATACTTGTGTTGCTAGCAAAACAACGATAAAAAAGTGTTTATTTATTTGAAGTGTAACTGACCTGCAATACTATGTTAGTTACAGATGTACAATATAGTTATTTGGTATCTCTATACATTACAAAATGATCACCACAATGAGTCTAATTACCATCTATCACTATGCAAAGTTATCATATTATTGACACTATGCTGCATGCTATACATTTGATCCCTGTGACTCACTTATTTTGTAACTGTAAGTTTGTATCTGTTAACCCCCCATACCTGTATCACTCATTCCCCCATTCCCCTCCCCTCTCAGTTTCCGTATCTATGATTCTGTTTTATTTGGTCATTCATTTTGTTACTCAGAGTCTACATATAAGTGAAATCATATGGTATTTTTCTTTGACTAATTTTACTTAGCATAATACCCTCATACCCTGTAGGTCCATCCATGTTGCTGCAAATGGTAAGATTTCCTTCTTTTTTGTGGCTGAGTATATTCCATTTTATATTCTGTCTTTTTTATCTATCCATCTATCAATGGACACTTAGGTTGCTTCTGCATATCTTGGCTATTATTGTGAGTAATGTTGTAGTGAGCATAGGGTTGCATATATCTTTTTGAATTAATGTTTTTGTGTTCTTTGGAAAAGTACCCAGAAGTGGAATTGCTGAATCATATGGTAGTTCTACTTTTAGGTTTTTGAGGAACCTCTGAACTGTTTTCCATAGTGATGGTACCAATATACATTCCCAGCAACAGTGTATGAAGGTTCCCTTTTTCCACATCCTTGTACTTGTTATTTGTGTCTTTTTATAATAGCCATTCTGACAGGCATGAGGTGATACTGTGATTTTGATTTGCATTTCCCTGATGATTGGTGATGTCAAGCATTTTTTCATGTGCCTTTTGGCCACCTATATGTCTTTGGAAAAATGTCTGTTCAGGTCCTCTGTCTGGTTTTTAATAGGTTTGTTTTTTTTGATGTTGAGTTGTATGAGTTTGTTTGTTTTGTTTTCTTTTAGGCTATTAACCCCTTATCAGATATATTGTTTGCAAATATCTTCTCTCATTCAGTAGGCTGCCTTTTCATTTTGTTCATCGTTTCCTTCACTGCAGAAGCACAGTAGCATCTTAAGACTTTCCACCTTGTACTAATTTACCCTCCTCATTACCAACAAAGTTTTTTTAACCATATCATATTCTTTCACTTACTCAGAAATTTTCCTGATGTTTATTAAATGAAGTCAGTCTCATTCACACAGTTCCTCTATATGTCCTCTATTCTCTACTTCTCTGATTGAAACTGGACTCACAGGAATATTTGGTGCTATGCTGAGTGGTACAGGGTAGTATGTGACGATCCGTGGCCTGTCTTCCTTATTAATAACTTCTCAAATGTTTGGCTAAAATAAGCCAACTGATGAGTAATCATTTATAAATACTTTTAAGTATATGTATTTAAAGTGACAGAAATACTAAGAAGTAAATATAAATTTTATTTGAATTGTGAAAATAAAACATGGACTGTACCTGTACTCCCAGGGGTATTTGTTAATTTTTCTCTGCCATTTTGGTATACTTCATTACCAAATTTTGAGAAGCATTGTCCTAAGCTATAACCAAAAGGAATTAGCCATCGGACTTACCTTTCTTCCTTCCAGTTTTATTGATACATAATTGACATAAGGCACTGTATAAGTAATTATTTGATTTATATAATAACATCATGAAATGTTTACCATAAGTTTAATGAATATTCATCATCTCATAGAGACAACATAAAAGAAAAAGGAAAAAATGTTTTTCCTTATGATGAGAACTCTTAGTTTACTCTCAGCAGCTTTCATGTATAACATACAAAAGTGTTAATTATAATTGTCATGTTATCCATTATGTCTCTAGTATTTATTTAAGAGTTTATAAGTCTTATTTCATATTTACCCCATCCAGGTAATGGTTCTGGGTATTAACCCTGACTGCAGTACTTCTCTGTCTTTTCCTGATGTTTGTTATCTATCCATCTTTAAGACCTAGCCGAGCTCTCACCTTTTTTAATAGATTATAGTAAAGACTGACATTTTTTAGCTTTCTCTTTATGCCAAGCACTTACCATGTATTATGCTACACAGTCACTTTCAAAGTAAGCATTATTATTGTCATCAGCAATGTTAGATGAAGAGTCTGGGACTCAGAAAGATTATGTCTAGGCCTGGTATGAACATTTTCTCCTCTGAACACTTAGAACTCTCACTTGGCAGTTATTCACATACTGTTATTCACATATTTATGCATCATATTTCCAGGTAGATTTTATGCAGCATGAAGGCAGGTACTTTCTTGTCTTTATCTCCATTGCACTTACTAGTATGCCTTATATGTAGCAGGTGTGCACATTTAAAAGTAAATTAGATTTTAATTAGTTAATTTTAAAAATTAAGTTAATTTAAAAATTAACTACCATATTTGCTTTGCCAGCTCATATAGCTTAGGTTCATTTTAATTGTTATGCTCCCACACACGTAGTGGGCTAAGTAAGGACATAATGTAGGAAGCCTCTCTGTTGCAGTTTTCATTATTTATTTTACAAGGTAACACATTGTTTATGTTTAAAAACCTGCTATATCATAATATATAAAAGTAAACACTGTGGTACATCTAGACAATGGAATATTATTCAGTGCTAAAAAGAAATGAGCTTTCAAGCCATTATGAAGCATGTAGGAAACTTAAATGCATATTGCTAAGTGAAAGAAGCCAATCTGAAAAGGCTATGTATTATGTGATTCCAACTATGACATTCTGGAAAAGGTGAAACTATCCAGACAGTAAAAAGATTGATGGTCACCTGGGTTTGGTGGGAAGGAAAGGATGAATAGGTGGGGCACAGGAGATTTTTGGAGCAGAGAAACTACTCTATCTATTATTATAATGGTGGGTAGGTCATTATACATTTGCTCAAACTCATAGAATGTGCAACACCAAGAGTGAACCCTAATGTAACTATGAACTCTGGGTGATAATGATAGGTCAGTGGAGGTTTAATGTCCTACTTTGGTGGGGAATGTTGATAATGGGGGAAACTATGCATGTATAGCGGCAGGAGATACATGGAAAATCTCTATACTTTTTGTTCATTTCTGCTGTGAACCTGAAACTGCTAAAAAAAAAAAAGTCTATTAATAAAAAGTAAACACAAAGTTCAACAGTAATTCTCCAGCTCATGTTATATAATTTATTGTGATAAGTATGGACTAGTTGGTTCTGAAACTAGTTAAATGTGGACAGTAGTGATCCAGCCACTTCAGTGTTCAGGTGAAAAAACAACTGAAGTCCAAAGAACTGAAGTAACATCTGTGTCACAAAACTGGTTGACTAGAAGGCTCAGATTAGAACACAGGTCTTCTGACTCAGTCAGTTATTCTTTGCCCAGCATTATTTTTATGCTATAATTTTTATATTCTAAATTATGGGATGATATCTTTAATTACCTTCCTTATTTATGTTCAACTTCTTCAATCCTGTGACTGCTCCACACTGACAGCATACCTCTATCAAGAAAAAAATGCCTCCTTCTAATGATTTACACATATACAAGACAGTTTGTTTCCTTAGCTAAGGTCACCTTTTTTCTTAAATTCAAAATCTAATCACATGTGGGATAGAATCACAGTCTCTATGAAGTCAAGATAAGATGCATTCCATACTATGTACCTGATTGATTAGACAATCCAGTGGAAGCTTGATTAATTGAAAACGACCTATTATAAAAGCATAGTCGTTTTATGTCAATATTATGTTATTATGTGAATTGAATTTTTAGGATTTGTTCTTGTATTTATTCAGATATTATGAAATTAATAGATTGTTCATTTTTATCCACTGTTTTTTTAATTATTGGTTTTTCCTCTGTCTTTAATTTCCTTCCTTCTCAAGATTTAAAATCAATACCTGCTTAGTACGGTAATTCGTGGCAACTCTTTTAGTGGACTAGAAATTGTGAGCTAAGTATTTTCACATATTAATTTTTAAGTAATTAATTATGGGTTTCTTTCTTCTTGGCACTTGCTTCTTGACTGAAGTTTATAGTTGACCTTAAGACCAAGTTTTACCCCTCTGTTAGGTTTTTTTATTTGAATCTGACAAGCCTAATTGGTGGCTATTATTGTTGTCTTTGTTCAAGTCTAGTCACAATTTTGCTTATTCAGGTTCATTATTATATGGAAAGCTTTTCAAAAAATATATAGTAACCTTAAAATTTTGTTCAAATACATTAAATATATTTTTTCTCTCAATTACAGGTTGTTAAACTGAAGCAAATAGAGCATACTTTGAATGAGAAAAGAATATTACAGGCAGTGAATTTTCCTTTTCTTGTTCGACTGGAGTATTCTTTTAAGGTAAATTTTACTTTTATCCAAATGAAATATTTTCAAACTGATATTTTTTTAAAATATGAAGCTATAATAGGGATCTAAACTAGATAATAAACCTTTTATTTTTTAAAATATGAAGCTATAATAGGACTCTAAACTAGATGATAAACCTAGAGAATATGAATAAACAAAGTAAGTAACACATTTAGATTTTATGTAATTAAATCCTGTTGTGCTTAAAGACAGGTGGCATTTGAAAAGGTTTTGGTTCTCTTTGAGGAAATTGTTAAAGATAATGTGTAGTTTTTCATGAGATAGTATTATAAAATCAAGAATTTCAGTTTTTCAGAGTTCATAGTGAAATCTTATTTTGCAAATCTTACACTCATACAAATGAATACACCTGCCTACCTTTGAAGCAGAGTAGTCTTTGGCCCTTAAGTGCCTCATAATGTTGCACAAGATTTATTCTTTAGGTTGGCAGCTTTCCAGCTTTTTGGAATGATTTACTTGGTATCTCTGCCAGTTGATTTACATGAAACATTTTAGCCTTTTTTCTTTTTCCTCCTTTGCTCTTCTTTTTTTTTTAATGCAGGCACTGGGAATAGAACCCAGGACCTCGCACATGCTAAGCACGTGCTCTACCGCTTAGCTGCATCCACTCCCTCCTCCTTTATTCTTTAAATCAGATGAAGACCTGTGTATTTAGGATGATGTTAAAAATCATTAATCTCTCTGACCTTTTTTGGTACATAAAATGTAATATTCTTACTTTTTCAAATTGTTCTTTAACTTTTGCTTATACTTTAGCAGTAAGTCATTGTCACAGTGTTTAACTGTTCAAGAATTATGTGTTCCCTCTGAGATCAGGAACAGGAAATATCCCAGACTAATCTGTGGCAGGAATACTAAGGGAAGAAAAAAAATATGTGACCCGGTGTGGAAAAGTTAGAGCATTTTCCATTTATTCTCTGTTTCCCAATGTTAGTAGTCTGTCAGATAGATTTTTTAATTAGTCTTTTTTTAATTGAACATTAATTGGCATTATCTTAAAATATTTTCTTGAGAAATAATCTAGGTTTCATAATTTTGATTTATTTATCCTTTTTATTTGTTCCTAGGATAATTCTAATTTATACATGGTTATGGAATATGTCCCTGGTGGTGAAATGTTTTCACATCTAAGGAGAATTGGAAGATTCAGGTAACTAATAATTTATGCTCATCAAACCTTTATACGCTGTGTATTTGTTTTAAATCGAAATTTTAAGTTTTTGTCAGTGCTAAAAATGTATTTCATTTAATTTAGTAGTATTTTAGCTACATGAATAATTGGTGGAAATATTTATAAGAGGCCATACCATACTGAGTTTTAAAAATTAAATGAAAACACCATGATAGCAATGTAAATATTCTTCCAAAATACCATTGGTAGGTCCATTATTTGAAGAATTTCCAGATATCACAAACATTAATTCAATTTAAACCTGTATTTATTGAACAAATATTAGTAATACATCTCTGGGGAAGAGGCTTGTCTAAGGATGAAGATAAGAAAGGAATATATAGAAAAGGTAATCATGGTATCATAGCGATGAGATGGTGAGTTTGTTTTGTACAAGTTTAATTCTCCTTAGCATTGTTGCCATGCTGAGTTTTAAGCATCTGTATGTAATTTTAAAAGAGTTTGCACCTTATCATTAGGTTATTACTAATAAGGTTACACAGTTATTGAAATAGTTTATAGATTCTGTTAGCTTTACCTATGTGTAATAGTTTGTAAGCTCCTACTGTTTGTTAATAATCACTATTAGAATGAAGCTGAAACCAAGAGCAGGTCCAGCTTCATTCAATATATTATATATTGGCATAATTTAAATATCAGTATGAATTCAAACAGGATTGAAGATGGTAATTCAGTTCATGAAGAGATGATGATAGACTCAGATTACATAAGATCATATTCAGTAATGGGCCATCGTGAGAGTTATTTTAGTTACTGGAGGCCTAAGCCAAAATTCACTTATTGACTTAATATCTTTCAGGCTCCTAATATGGGTCAGGCACTGTGCTAATACAGAGTAGCTTCTGTTCATCTTAATAATTTTCTTTCACCTCCTGTTATCCTTTCCAACACACCTTGTCCAGGCAGGCCCAGAATCTTCATATTGCCCTGTGATAATTTAAAGTTTTACACTGAAGTACCAAACCTAAGCCTTTCTTCAAAAAACATTTTGTCCATTCTGTAATAACTAACATCTTTCCTTTGCAACTCTCCACACTCTTATTTAATGCTTGACTTGATAGTAAGAGGAAAGCAAGTTGATTGATGTAATTTACACAGAGACACTGTATTTAACCTTTCACACGTACTATATATATATATATATATGTATACACACACACACACACACACACTTGGAAGGTTGCTAACTCCTACCTTAGAAGCTTTGAGGTGATGAGAAGACTGAGTTATTGTTGAGCATGGCTCTAATCAGAATCAGTGGAGTCACTACAGTTCTCTACATAAATAGTAACCATCTAGACTTGAAGTTGCTACAACATTAAATGTTCCTATAGAATATGTTGCTCTCACATTTCAACAATTTGATTATAGATCTATGTAATGTTTGTGTACCTCCAATCGAACACCAGTGTGGAGATTAATATAAAATACTGAGTGTATCTTATACTTACGTTGATAAGTATAAGATGGTAAATTCATCTTATATTAACAAATGTATGGAGAAAATAGGATGTTTGACCTCCCAGGTCAAACATTTCCAAAATTAGGGATGTATGTTTCAATGACCAGGGTAATTCTTCAAATCTCCCTTTATAGTGCTCTCATTCCTTGTCATACAACATATGGCCTAGCTTGTTACAGTGTTGGCATGGGGCTGGAACTGGAATGGTATTATAAAATTTTGCCACAAAAAAAAAGTGTTTTTCTTCACATATTCATTTATTCAACAAATATTTGCTGAGCACTTGGTATATATCAGACTAGGACCTTGGAAATATAATGAGTGACAAGCAAAAAGAGCAGCATATACAGTCTTTTTTTAGAATTTCTATTCCTGGTGCTAACGGATCAAACTCATGCCAACGATCTTGAGGGAAATTCTATTCATAGTTAAGGTTGTTCACTGAGGACATAAATCTGAAAGTCATTGCAATTTATCAGGGGGATTAGCAGAATTCAGCATATATACTAGAAAATGAAACAGAAACACAAACTAGAAAATTGGTACATTCTTTTAGAGAAATACTCAGAATGTGACTTCAAAATAACAATTAATCTATCAGTTGATCTAATCTATGCATGCAAGAATGATGTGTATTTACACAAATATGCAGATTATACTTATGTTTAGGTGTCTGTGGAAACAGGTGTAGTAGGAGATTGGGAAATGCAGACACCAGGATTGTGTCTGTGGTTTCTGAATGGGATTATTGGTATTTTTATTCTTCATTAATAATTCATAATTTTTTTCTACAATGAGCATATGTCACTTTTGTAATAGGAAGAGCCTGGGTAAAATGGCAGAAGTCTGCAGATTAATGCAGTTAAATAAGTACTTAAAGCTTATGAGGAAGGTAGATGGAGCCTATCAACAGCAGCAATGGCCCTGAGAGACAACCTAACTGGCACTTTTCAGTCATTCTCAAGGTCAGACGCAATTATAAAGACATCTTTAATCTTCTAATGTGGCCAATAATAATTTGAATTACAATGACAATCTGAGTATATATTTCTTCAACATCTGCTGCCCACCAGGAGTATCAAAGCATTATTTGAAGGTGATTTATAATTTAGTACATACTGGAAAATAACAATATTCTTTGTATATGCTTAAAAGAAAACAAATGTTGTTTGCTCCCAGAATACCTCTACCTTATATTAATTTTTTGCATAATCTACTAATTACTGTATATGTTAACCCATTTGACAGAAAATCAATGTTTTGTTTCTTTGTAGTGAACCCCATGCACGGTTCTATGCAGCTCAGATAGTGCTAACATTTGAGTATCTCCATTCACTAGACCTCATCTACAGAGATCTAAAGCCTGAAAATCTCTTAATTGACCACCAAGGTTATATCCAGGTATGACTTGAACACATTATATATAATGTGTTTGGGGAAACGCTAGGTAAGAAATTGTATGTGTTTAACCACAACTACTAATATTGGATTTTTTTTCTTTGAGGGAAACAGCTCTTCCTGATAGCTTAAGTTGAGCTAATAATTCTGCCGCTGTTTACAGAGAACCAGAAATTCCATCAGAGCCTGCTTATCTCTCCCATGATCTATAGCTGTGGACTGAGCACAGGCTCCTGCATGAAGAAATAATAGCTGAATTTATGAGTGTTCACTTAGTGCCAGGCATTATTCTTAGTGTCTTATGTGTATCATCTCTTAATTCTGATAACACTGTGAAGTATAAATCCTATTGTTATCCTCATTTTAAAGTTAATGAAACTAAGACACAGCGAGGTCACACAGGTAGAGTTAGGATTTGAACTCAGACAGTCTGTTCGAGAGTTCGTGCTTTTTAACTCTACAGCGTAGCTGCCAAAAGAGCCTAGCTACCAGCACTGGACTGGTGACAGCATTTTCTTTCCATTTCCACTATTAATACAATGTGAGCATTCCTTTTTACTCGGCTATCAATAGATTCTCCCAGTGATGCTTTTGTGCTTCTGATGATGATAATGGCAGAGGACATGCTGGATTCAGGGAACACTCCTAGCACTGCTTCATTTTTATTAAAACTAATTTTTTTGTTCATTTGTTTCTCTGTTTGAGTTAAGGAAAGGTTTTCCAGCATGGGTTGCTTTAAGTTTCATTCACTAAATAGTAGCATTCATGGATTAATCTCAGTTACATTGACTTATTTTTTTTTTATGTTGTTAATTTTAACCCTAATTTTTAACTTTCAACTTAGGTATGATAATGCATTTGTTATGAAATAATTTTTTTTTCTTTTGTAGGTCACAGACTTTGGGTTTGCCAAAAGAGTTAAAGGCAGAACTTGGACATTATGTGGCACTCCAGAATATTTGGCTCCAGAAATAATCCTCAGCAAGGTATATTTATAATGTTGCTATGTAAAAAGTAGAAATACACTGCGTGCTTCACTGTGTAGTTTTATTTAAAAACAGTTTATTGATCTAATTTGACATTTATTTAATCTAAATTATGAACTTAAACCTATTTGTGCATAATTAATTATTTAGAGTCTGCTACTAATCCCATAAACAATTCATTTTAACTCTGAATCTGAGAGAATTTAGTGTGAATAAATCTGACCTGTTTTGAAGCCAAAAGCGTAGCCTTTTCATAATTATCCCAAATAACAGGAGGGCGGGAAGGCCTTGCTCTGGATCACACCAAGAGGCAAACTGAAGATGACATGTGCTAGTTGTCACTTCTTCTTGTTTCAGCTTTACCATTTAAATGAAAGAAATGTGTGTGAATATTTTTTTTAATTTTAGTTTAAAAATAGGAATATTACGGCAGTTGAATACTGTCTTATTGAAGACATTTCTACTTTTCTGAACAATGAAAATATGGTGAGAGAAATTTTTAATCATATCTGAAAAGATGGTTTAACTTCTGTTTTCCTCTCTACTGCCATCCCTTGTTGAAGAAAGCTAAAAAGGAGAAACTGATAATTTCTGGGCACAGACAGGAGCCAGGAAAGGGATAAGATAGATGCCTTTCTTTACACCATATACTTTTTTTTACTGTACTATATACTTATACTATATATATAGTAAAAGAAATATATATTCCTTGTATGAAGTTTGGAAAATATAAGGAAACAATCAAAAAACCTATAATTTTACCACCCAGAGGCAGACTTTTTTAAAAAAATTTTCAATGTATTTTTCTATGCATGTTATATTGTGTACAGTTTTATATTCAGCTTTTTTCACTTGAATGATAACAAGTATGCAAACATAATTCTAATGGCTTATTTGAAAATGTACCATATCATATTTTGCCATTCTTCTATTGTTGAATATTCAGGTTACTTACTTTTATTTTCTATTGTAAGTAGATCTGACAAACATCTTTGTGCATAAAACTTTTTCTACATTTCAAATTAATTTTTTAGGATAGATTTCTAGAAATGGAATTACCTGGTCAGAGGGTATGAACATTTTTAAGGCTTTCAATACATACTGCCAAAGGGCTTTCCAAAAAGATTGTAACATTTTACACCCCTCAGCAGTGTTTGAGAGTGTTCCACCACACTTTCTCTAGCATTGGGTATTCTTATTTTAAAAATCATTACTAATTTGGTAGACAGTAAATGATACCTGAATTACTTTAAGTTTCATGTCTTTGTTAGTTTTTTTAATGCTTATTGGCCATTTGGTATTTGTGTGTGAATTACTAGTTCATGTCCTTTGCCCATTTATCTATTGGAAGTTAGTTTTTCTTACTGATTTGTTTTAATTTTTTACACCTGAGATATTAAAAGCATCTGGCACACTTACATAAATATTCGCACACAATCTAAAAACTAGAAATCAAAGTTTAGTAAAAAAAAAAAGATGTCTTGTTTCAACATTACATGCTTTCATTGTAGCAAAAAATAATTGTAATTATATTACTAGTGAGTTGAACTTACAGAATTAAAGCAAAGTTGACTCCTTTCTATTAGTAAAACAAAGTGCTGTTTCTAGTATACTAGTCTCTGTTTTTAGAAACATGCAGAATCAGAAAATAAAAAGAAAAAACTCTATAGTATTATATTTTAGAAATAATTTGTAATTTTAATAGTTTATAAAGCTAAAATTTTGACAGAAGGTTGGGCTATGGGGAGCGGCAGAGGTAATTAAAGGATACATCTGAGGGCAGACCAGAAGATCTGGTAGGAACTCAGCTCATTTCTCTCCGGGATCAAGTTGGACTTTTTTTCCCATAATCTTTTGCCAATTGACACTGATTCTAGTTGATAACAAACTTTATATAAATACGTTAATATTTTAGTCTTTTTTTTTTAATTTATAGTTTTTATTTTTATTTTGGGGAGAGCTAATTAGGTTTTTCTCTTTTTTAGCAGAGGTACTGGGGATTGAACCCAGGACCGTGTGCATTCTAGGCACACACTCTACCACTGAGCTATACCTTCCCCCTTTAGTCTTTTTTTTTTTTATAAATACTTCTAGATCTTAATTTTAATAAGCTTAACATGAAAACAACCCAATTAAGAATAACCTTAGAATTGTATATTTGGTTTGCAACACTCTTTTTATGTACATCATTTCCTTTTATTTGATGTAGTTCTCACAAAACCCCATGACTTAGTTAATCTCTCCTGTATAGCTTTTAGAGATGAGAAAGAAAACAGTAATTAGATAAAGAATACTTAAATACTTACATTTATTAGGTTCTGCATTAAACTTTTAGCTTTCCTACGATCTTATGAAGTAGACAGGATTATCCATAGTATATTCACCCTCCTAACTCCAACAATATAGAGTGTTATGAAGTCAACTCCACTACTTATTATGAAGTACAATATCTACCCTTTCATTTCAAAACTTTTGACCTTTCTAAGTATTTCCTAGAAAGCTTGATTCATAAGATTATGGAACCAGAATGAGCTTTAAGAGGTAATTTGGTTCAACTCTCTTCCTATTACTGAGCAGCAACTAAATTATCTCAATTAAACAGGGCATATTTTATTGTCTATAATATTCTTAATGATTTTAGGGAGAAGATTGAATAATATTTCCTAATATCCAATTTCAATATCTGGAAATTCTCCCCTTTGTTTAATTCAAATCTGACTTGATACATTTTGTTTATTTTATTTTTTTTATTTTACCCTGAATAACTGCTCAGCAACTGCTTTTTTAAAACTTTCACATACTTAAGGTCATTGTGAAGTAATGCATGACGTCATTCTCTTCTGGGTGAAGTAGGTGATAACAGACACTTGGTGTTGGTTCATCGTAGGGCTACAATAAGGCAGTGGACTGGTGGGCATTAGGAGTGCTAATCTATGAAATGGCAGCTGGCTACCCCCCATTCTTTGCAGACCAGCCAATTCAGATTTATGAGAAGATTGTCTCCGGAAAGGTAAGCAATGTATTTTATTATTTTTTATTAATAATTATTTCTGTACATGAATTTTAAGCTTTGTAGAGTGAAACCATTTAATGTCATCAGAATATTACCCTAAATTGGGAAAAAATACAGAAATATCCATAGTTGCTGCCCTTATGTCTAGCACCCATTTAAGATAACAGAATAAATATTTAGTCATTGAAGTCTCTTAAATAAAAAAGGGCAATTTTACAAACGTATTAGCAAGATGATAAACAGTTTCCACTTTAAATATTTTTATCACTTACAAAATACAGGATCATAGCCCTAATTCTTCCAAATTCCTTCAAATAAGTAAAAATGGTTAGTTATTTAGTTAGATATGTGGAAATCTGCTTGGAGAGAAGTTTCAGGGGCTATTTTTATATGCCCTTCCTCTTTTAGGAGAGACTTCTTGTTTGAATTATGTCAGACAGCACAAAATTGGAAGTAAATATTGAATAGCTAAGCCTTTTTTAAGATGAGAATTCATAGAAATGATGTAAACAGTTGTTAATGTGATTATAATTGCCATTAATCTTTAGCAAGTATGGAAATAACATCAATTTTTCTTGAATATGAGTAGATTTACTGTGAGTCATAGTGTTTCACATTTTCGAATCACTCCATAAACCTTCCTTCTTTTGCATTTTTAATTCCTAATCTTGTTTCCAAGAGTATTTTGTTTAAAGTCATCTATTCACTCTTGCCTCAACTCATACCTCAGATCCTTTTTAAAAATACCGCAGTCAATTTTAATAGAGATGAGCCTGATTCTTCCCACCAGCTAGCAAAGAAACAGGTTTTCAGAAGTTCTCGGGAGGCCTTCTGTACATTTATGACAAAGCTCACAGGAAGGGATCTTTTCCGTTTTTTTTCTTTTTTCCTAATCCCATGTGTGGTACACTCTATTTATTTTTCTCTTTTTTTCCTTTTTTTTTTTTTTTGATCACATTGCCGCATATAGAATATGACCAGGAAATAGAGCATCAATCTTGACATGACATTACGCTGAGATGTGATGTAGTTGACTTTTTCATATTTTGTGACCTTCTAAGGAAGAGACCAGCCTAATCAACCTAAAGGATCTGGAAGGAGATAGGGGGAAAAATCTCAGTTTCTTTGTATCTCAGCCAGATTCAGGTTCTACATTTAGTATAAAAGCTGACTGTTAGCATTCATGAACTTAAATTTTATAATGTTTGCTATTTAGAAGGTATCCTGAATGGCCATAATGTGATAATTTATCTTTTTTACCAAGACCTAAATTTAAATTATGGATGCTACAGAGCTGGGCGGTAGGAACAATAGAATGAGTCTGTCCAACCACCTAGAATCCACATCTCAACCCAGTATTGTTCCACATCTCATAGTACATATGCCATGCACAGGGGTCACAGGGTTTTCAGTTATACTTTACTTCATTTATGGAGGAAAGTTTTACATTAAGGCAGTATTCACAAACTTAAGAATGTATACTTCAACTATGTCAGAGGTAAAAAAATGAATACTTCTTACAGATAACTAAGCCAAGTTTTGGTAGATTTACACCTAAAGTAATAGAGAAAGACAGAATGAGGTACTTAGGTAATTAAGTATTTCTGCTGTCCTTGCTACATTTGTGTATCTCTAGACTTCAGGTTTCTTATCTTTGTAATTGTTTTCACCCAGCAGAATATTAAAGTCACAGTAAAAAAACTTTTTGAGATGGACAAAAACAAAACATCAAGAAAAATTAATAGACAAGGCAGTGATTTATTTTTTAAGAATTTGAGAAGTGATTATATAAAATCCGAAGGGGAAATAAGAACCAAAGTTCATGTAAGGAATGATGAGAGGACTAAAATCCTCTTTTAAATCACTGAATGGGAGAAGCATATTTTACTAATACAGAGACTAAGAATGAAGAGATTATAGTGAGAGTTCCAAAGAGTTTAATTACAGGTAGTTACAAAGTTCTTGAGTCTTCACTATTTATTGCTATTATTCACACTTTGTAAGAGGAATGAAATTTTCTGACAAGGATGCCATCTGTCATACTGAATTTCATTTATTTAGAAAGATTGCTTTAGTTAAAAATGTGTTCTCGTCATCTGTATGAATTGGCCCCCGTTTGCCAATCATTTTACATCGTTTTTCAGTTGTTTATGAATATGTTTTTATTTCATATCAAACTTTAACATTTAGGATCCAATATTAGCTTAAAATTTAAATCTGCATATATTTTTAAATCGTAATAATTTAATCCTATTCATCTTAAAAGAGAAGAGTAGAAACATGAAATTTTATCATACCACAATATTTGATTTTTTTCCCTTCGTTTATTTAGAAATATGAAAGGTTGTTTGATGTACCCTTGTTTTTAAATAAAGGTGCCAGATTATCTCTCCCTATGTTGGATGTAAAGTTATTTTCCTTTCTTGTTCTGTTTACTCACTTAAACTAAAACTCACGAAAGCAAAATATTATCAATAAGTGATCACTAGGATCTGTATTATGTGACTATAAAATCATATCCGCCGTTTCCCAGGAAAGCCATTTGTTTCAGCACTCAAATCCCAAGTAGAAGGCATCACTATCCACGTCACAAAATGTTACTATCTCTCTGATTACTAGCAAAAAGTCAAACTGGAGACTAACTTGTTTTTAAATTTTTTAATTGTCCAAGTCATTAAAAACCCAATTTTGATCTTACAGATTCTGTATTTGTATTTAAAATTTTTAATGGTTTTAATGACATCAAATATTTAAAAATATACTTTTCTTTCAGAATTGTTTTTTTCTGAGTTTTTAAAAAGCATGTAATTATTTTATGCAACATTTTATGTTGATTATATTTTTCTGAAGCCATGTTATAAAGATTATAGGTATCAGTGACTTACCAGAGTTAAAATAAAATGTGTTTAATGAAGTGATTAGTTCACTAACGTACATATATTTGAACATTAGATTGTTAGTCTTTCTCTGTTCGCAATATTTTAACTCAAACTGGTATTTTTAAGTGCACAGAAAGATGATCAATCAGCTTGTTATATTCTCTCCTACACATATTTTTGCCTTTAAAAAAACAGAGGAGGTGGTTTTAAATGTCAGATTATTCATGCAGTATCAGGGTTCAGGTTTAGAAATGCATAGCTGACAGAAAAGTCTTCTAATTCCCACATTAACTATGCCTCATCCTAGCAACACACATGTTGAGCTTCTGTACCTTAACCTTAGAGTTTCTGACTTACCTAATTTTAAAAATCGTTAGCTCCATTATATATAAATATGATTCCATTTCTTTTTTTTTAACATTTTTTATTGATTTATAATCATTTTACAATGTTGTGTCAAATTCCAGTGATTCCATTTCTAATGAGCACCAAAAATGTACAAGGAGACACTATACAAAATATAAAGTTGTAAACATATGTATACAGAGAATGATCAAAGATTAACTTTTTCACGAAGGGCAGTCCACATTCCTGCGTAGGGTAGTTGATTAGCAGCCAAATGGCTATTGCCTTCTGTGTCCAGGGTCCCCAAAAACATTCCCAGAGTGGGTGATTCTCTAGGAAGAATCACAAAATTCAGCCAGTGTATAGTGATACTTAAGGAATGAATACCTTAACGTTGTAACAAGTACCTTCGTTGCAAGGTATGTTACAAGAAAGGACATTAAGTAAAATCAGCAAAGGGAAAAGGCACATGGGACAATGTCCAGAGGACACCAGGCACAAGCCTTCAAGAGTCCTCTCCCAGAGAAGTCACAAAGGACACACTTCATTCCTCCAGCAACAAATGTGGATGAAATGTTGTCTACCAGGGAAGCGCATTAAAGACTCAGTGCCCGGGATTTTACTGGGATCACGTGTGCACCCTCTATCTAGCACATATCAAAATCCCACACTCCCAAAACAAAAGCAGATGTTCAGCATATTGTTTGTACCAACAGTCTAGGTACAGAGGGGCATTCATGTCGTTTAGGAAAGTTTCGTTTCAATGTCTGGAACTGTTACCACTCCAATTCCCAGATACCTGCCAAGGGCCAAACTAGCAGGCAGGCCTTCTTTAAATAAGAGTAGCAGGCTCAGGCCTACTGTGTTAGCTTTTTTCTGTATCTCCCTAAATAGCATACACACATGCAGATATACCACTACACTTTTTCTGAGACACAATTGTTAGTGCTTTTTGAGAAATTAAAATGCCATTTTTCGTCTGCCTATGTCTATAGATTAAAAGTCTTAGAATACTTGGTAGTTATTTTCATAAAATATAAAAGCAGTTGCACCTTTTGTATAAAATCCAGGGCCATTTTTTAACCACCTGCTGTGGACATTTAAAATTCTTCTTAATGCTTGCTCTGATAGTCCTTACTCCGGGGGATCTGTGGGCAAACGCTTGCCACTTGTTTCACAGAGGAGACTGAGGACGGGGTGGGTGAGAGTCCTCTGTGACCTTCTGGGTTCATCCTCTCTGTTCGCTGTGAGCTCACAGTCATGGCACTGCTACTTATGAGTATTGTTTTTAATTTCCTAGATGTTTCTTTTCGTATATAGTATCCAGACTGATTATATAAGATCCAGGGCCTTTGAGGCTGTGCAGAGCTTGGCATCATATCTGTTAGAAAGCCTCATATATGAAAAGTTGTTATGTCTTTTGAAAAATTAGCCAATGTACATGCTCATTTTTGCTAGATGATTTTTTAGTGGAATTGTAGATTTCTTCAAACTGTACTAATTTAGAGAGAGAATTTCTTAAAATTTCATTTCAACATGCTTGTGGACAGAAGTTAATAGATTATTGTTTATTTGTCGAGTGCAGGCTCTTGGGTCATTTAAGTCCAGTAAATTTTATCCTGCTGCACAAAAGAAAATGTTACTAGTTAAATGATCTTTTCCCCTGTAAATTGCAGAATAGCAATAAAAATTTTCCCTTCTTCAATCAGAGATCAATTTTGTGATTTCTGTGATTAAGTGGATTTTAGACAAACTTGATTTTGGTCTTATTTC